GAGCCCTGGGACCCAGGGACTAAGCACTGGGCTGCTGATTTTGATGTCAGTTATCCAACCTATGAGCCACTCCAAGGGGCAGAGGTGAGGCTTTCTGCTGCCAAACCCAAGGAGGCAGGTACACTCTGGCCTATGGGATCATTACACATTGGAATTGACCCGATGGCAGTGAGCGTCGATTAATGCTCCGCAGCATTGCTTAAAAGCAAGCCAAGGGTCCACAGCCAGGGTTTGACAGCTGTAACGCCTTTTATGGTCTTAAAGACCAGGGCTTCATAACTATGGATGCCAGAGTTGGAGTGGACATGGGAGGGGCCTGGGTATAATTTGGACAGGATTGGAATCTGGGTCACCAGAGAGATTGCCCTTGCTCCTAAAGAACGCATGGAAGGGGCGGCAACAGCTAGTATGGGGGTGGGGCCGAGGGTTTTACCCTGATTTTTCTAGATTGAACCTTTGTGTCTTGTCGCCCATAAGTGCTTATATAAGTGTAGCTGTGTATTTCATTGTTAAACTCTCTTGGGCCGTTAGGAAAGCCAGAGCCAGGGTCAAATGGCAGCATAGGTCTGGTTTGCACTGATTTAACACAAATAGATGTCATGGGGATGATTGTGACTGGTCGTCTCGGGCTTGAGAAGCTATGAGGGCACTTCATTTCTTGTCATTCTTTAAGACTTACATTTTTACAGTAGAGTAAGAAACCAAAAAAGATATATAATGTTTCTTATTAAACACCTTAGGTAATATAGAGAAAACGTAAAAGCTGTCCATAATCCAACTTGCCAGGTTACCACATCTTCATATTGAATGTATTTTCTTCTTTTTGTAACAAAAATAGGTTGGTCGGGTTGTTTTTCAATCTGCTTGTTGTCCTTGGCAATTGAGAAGATCTTTCTACTCAAGAAAAGTGTCTCTAAGTCCCCTTTCAGTGGCCTCGTCGTAGTCTCACTGGGCACTGGGAAGCACCTGGGCTGCTCTGGGTTTTGGTTTGCGTGTATGGCAGTGGCTCTCCACTTTCCTCATGCCGAGCCCCTTTCATGCACTTCCTCATGTGGTGGGGACCCCCAACCATAACATTATTTAAGTTGCTGCTTCATAACTGTCGTTTTGCTACTGTTAAGAATTGGGCGACCCCTGTAAAAGGGCTCGAGACCCCCAGGTTGAGAACCGCTGGTTTAGAATGTCACACATGAAGAATGCAATAGATAGTATTTGTTGAAGCCAAGTCCTTGGTTCTGTTTGTGGGATCAATCCCAAGAAGTGGCATTGTTGGGCAGTTCTTCTGGCCTGGGGTGGGGGTGGGGGGGAGACAGGGCCTGCTGATACACTCTGCCTAGCAGGTGTGAGAAAAGGTTTGCCTTTTCTCACATGATGTATTTGGCTGGGTTTTTCAGGAAAAGAAGATGCCACCCAAGCGCATAGCTAAGAGAAGATCACCCCCAGAAGATGCTACCCCCAAAAGCAAGAAAGTGAAGGGTAAGAGGACCTTGTCCTATGAGTAGGGCAGCCATCCAGGAATCTGGGTGCTGGTGGCCTCCTGGAGCTGCAGGAGCGGGGACTGCGCTTCCCTGGCATTTGACCCACTCAGCTGGAGGGTTAGGGCCCCTTCTACCTCGTTAGATCCAACCTGCTGGAAATCACAAGGAGTAGAGACTTGCCTACAGTGGTGCAGGTGGTAGTGGGAAAACCAGCTCCCGGGGCCTCGACCCGTGCAGAAGTGCATAATGGTTAGGACCATGGGCTCTGCCACTTTCTGGCTGTGACCTTGGGAAAATCATTTAACCTAGCTGAGTTTGAAATGTCCCCTGCCCAAAACAGCAGGAGAACAGCACCAACCTTCCTGGACTGTTGTGAGCACTGAAGGGACTTAAAACCCTGGCTGCTCTGGGACGTGGCTCTGGTTACCTCTCTACCGGGACCCTGGAGGAGGGCAGGGAGGATGGAACGCGGGGAGCCCCCAGCCTGGGAATGGGGAGTTGTGGGGCCAGCTGCATGCTCAGACAGTGCCTGTCTTTTGCAGACCCTCGTAACCAGGCAGTGAGGGCAGCCGTCTCCCACCATGCTCCTGGCGCCCGCTCCTGCCAAGGTGCTTGCGGGCTGAGCCCTCTTGACCAGAAAACCTGACCACCCTGCTCCCTGGCCAGCGCAGCCTCTGCGCAGCTGTGGCTACAACCCTAGGGCGGAGGGCTGGACGCCAATGGCTGTCCGGGGCCTTGGGGTGGGAGGCTTCCTTTGGCGAGCAGAGGGCCCCTTGCCGCCGTGATCGGCCCGTCCATCTCTCCTCTAACGCCCCTGTGGTCAGTTACTCTTGCCCCTTGTCCCCAGCTGTTTGTCTGGTTCCTGATGGGGACAGAATGTGGCCAGGAGTTGAACTATCCAGCGTGCAGGCGTGGGAGGGCTAGGATGGGGGGTGGGGGCTGTGCTCGGATCCACGAGATACTCCTTGGTTTTGATGTGAGTGCCCACGTATTAGCTGTATGAGCCTGGAAAGGTCATTTAGCCCCTGTGAGGCCCTGTCCCTTCTACTGTTAAATGGAGTCCTACTTATGGAAGGTCTCCGGCATAATTTGGGGGAGTCCAAAGCAATTTAACATTTGAGTGAGTAGACAGTAAAGGGTTAACTACCAGCGCCCTGACTGCTAGCACCCTGGCTCCTGACCAAAAACATACGGCTAATCAGGAAAAACTGGTCCTCCCTTGCCCACCACGATTCACTTCACAGTAGTGTGTCTCCATATTTCCTTCTCCCTGTTGTGTTAATGTGCTCAGTTATTAATCTTCATAAAAACCTTATGAGATAGATACAGGTTTCCTCATAGTACCTATGAAACAGGATCAGAAGGGTCATAGAGGTCTCTGCTCCCAAAGCCCCTGCAGTGACCTCTTTCTCCTGTGGTCCCTCATACGTGGGGGCTGTCCCTCCCCCTCAGTCTCTCATAGGTCCCACAACATAGAGCCCGGCAAGGTGCTGACACTGGGCCAGGGGGACGTGGGCCAGCTGGGGCTGGGAGAGAACGTGATGGAGAGGAAGAAGCCAGCCCTGGTGCCCATTCCTGAAGATGTCATCCAGGCCGAGGCAGGGGGGATGCACACTGTGTGTCTAAGCAAGACTGGCCAGGTAGGTTGGGGGTGGGGAAGGGTGTAGGGGTGGGCATGCTTGGGTCAGGAGCTTTGAGCTGCACACATTTCGCTTGAGCTTCCGCCAGCTAGCCAAGCAGGGGTCAGCCTGAGCAAGAAGGAACTAAGAGGCCAGACTGTACTCAATGGCCATTCTGGACACAGGTCTATTCCTTCGGCTGCAACGATGAGGGTGCCCTGGGAAGGGACACATCACTGGAAGGCTCGGAGATGGTCCCCGGGAAAGTGGACCTGCAGGAGAAGGTGGTACAGGTATCAGCAGGAGACAGCCACACAGCAGCCCTCACGGAGGATGGCCGTGTCTTCCTCTGGGGCTCATTCCGGGTAAGGCTGGTTGGCAGGCGGCATGGGGCATGGGGTGGAGTTAACAAGTGGGACACCAAAGACAAGCCACCTCCATGCCTCCAGGGTAGGGGCACTTACTGGAGGGGAAATCAAGGCCACAGCTCTGGCTTTTTCCCAGGCCTGACAACATTATCTGGTGGTGTCTTTATTCTGATGTTATCAAGTGGGTGTGTTAGGTGGGTCACGAGTGCCTGCGCTGAAGCTGATCCAGATTTAGGGAGCCTGTTCCCTTCATCCAGCTCTCTGCCTCTCGCCAAGTGTGGAGAATCTCAAACTGATATTGAAAAAGCAGAATAGCGGATCGAGCCCCCATCTAGTCAACACTCAGCCTCAACAGCAGTCAGTTCATAAGGAGGCTTGTTTCATCTCTACTCTTTCACGCCCCTCTTCTCTTGTTACTGCAGCAGAGTGAGGCGAGGGGCTAGGGGGCTTTGACAACCCCCCCCCGGCTCAGAAGAGGGCTTGGCGTGGGAAAGGTGAAACAGATCGGCCATTCCACGATCCGGAGTCCTGGGTCCAGCCGCAGCCTTGTATTTAAGGGCAGGAGGGTTGGGTGTCCCACCCGTCCCATCTCCCTATGTAGCCTCGGTCTACCCGCGTTTTTCTAGACGGTCACGTGGCCT